GCCATCAGTTCCACATCAAATCTTGTTTTGTTATCTATACATTAAACCACTTAGAATAACTAGAATATGGAGAATATAGAATATTGTTCTGGATTATTTTGTTTTTTGTTTCCTGGTTGGTTGAAAGAAACTCATTATGAAAAAGATTTGGGGCTGATTGTAGTAAAAAGTGATCAAAAATGAGTTGCTGCCACAGGAATGGGGCCAAGATTTTAAAGCCATCAGTTCCACATCAAATCTTGGACCGTGCTTTAATTGTAGCGGGGAACCTAACTTTGGTTTTTATCAAACGCGTGAGTCAGGCTGAAGGCTTCTGTCTTATTATAGTGACAAACATCAAAAGTTATTTGTACATTGTGTATATTTAGCTGTAAGGCAAAAGAAAAAATCACGAGCATTAGAAAAAATATCCATCAAAGAGTCACGAGACGGAACAAGATCGGGGTAAAAAAACAACGTACATTAGGAATTGACATGCGGGTTAAGTACAGAACGGGCAGAAATGTGTGTTGACAGAAGCTCGTTAGAAGCTAACGAACGGCAGTAAAAAAAACGCTCCTCAGCTTTTAGCCAACGTGCTATAAATAAGAGGCGTCGCGTGCAGCGTTCAAACTCGCTTTCCGGGGATAAAACTGCTGATTGCGTAAAATAATAGATATAATTCTAGGGGGGTTTAAAAGGCTAAGTAAAAAAAAAGAAAAACGGTTTATGTAAATAGTCGTAATGTGCAGAGCTTCTCTGCAGGAAGCAGCTATTAGACGGGCTGAATAAAAATGTGTAACCACCTTCCTGCAGTTTGACACAATCTGGAAACCAGACGGGAATTTGTCGGTATTCATTCCCGCTCGAAACAGTTCCCGCTGCGTTATTTGTAAAGAAAGAGAGGTCTGTAGCACAAACTGTTCAAACTGAAGATCAACTTTTCATATCAAAGTTTCTCAATTCCTGAATTATTGACTCGTGTCCTGATATTACACCTGAATTTCAAAATCTCCTGATGTTATTTCAACATTTCAAAGTCTCAGTTGAGAGAGAGGAGTAGAGTTTAGAACAAGGACCCTATAGGACTTTATATTTAGGATTTCTCTATAAAAGATTTGAGCTGAAAGCCTGGAACATGATTTAATGTTTGATAGATAGATAGATAGATAGATAGATAGATAGATAGATAGATAGAT